AAATAAGACAGAATTAAAATTTTATTTTGAAAAAATAATCTATTAATATTTATCTGATGTACCAATCTTTTTGCACCGGACCATATATAATTATTCAAAATAAAAATATTTAAATTCTATCAAAATTTTGAATAACAAATGCCGATAAGCAAAATTGTAATCTTTGTTTAGAACTATAATGATAATTTTTACTATGTATCACTATTATCAAATTTTTGTTCGAGTTCGAAATTTTCGAGTTAGCTCGGGGCGCTAATGTTTCTTTGGTGCAGTGTAACATATTTTCTGAGATCGACCACAGATATCAAATTTGCATTTTAAATCAACCATCTTAGATTTCGTTAATCCAGAACACTCAATTTCTTCACCTAATTAACAAATGGTAATTTTGTATAAAGTATTTCCGTTCGAACCTAAAAAATTTAATTTTTACTTTATTTTATATAGGCAGCACAAAATTCCCAAGGCATCACAACCTTACTTGAAGCAGAAAAAGAAGCGGCAAAGACAGTTCAACGTGCGAGACAATGTATGTAGTGTCTTTCGCTAAGTTGTTACCTATTAGTTTTATTAAACTAAAATTTATTTAATCAAATCGTTAAATATTATTTTGAATATAGATCGGGTTCAAAAACTAAAGGATGCTAGAACAGAGGCTGCAAAAGAAATTGAAGCTTTAAAAGAACAAAAAAATGCAGAATATAAAGATTTTGCAGCAAAGGTATGCCGAGAATTTTTTTTTGGGTTATCATAACATTCAATATTATTAATTTATTCATAATTCTAATACTTATTAGCATGTTGGCTCGTCAGGTCAATCGGTTGCAAAAGTGACAGCCGATGAACAGGATAAATTAAAAGAAATTGAAACAGCTGTTGAGAAAAATCGTTCGTTAGTAACAGAACGGCTTTTGGCTGCAGTTACAAAAGTGGAACCAAGGATGCATCGAAACTTTAGATTGGTTGAGCGATCTTAGTAGCTTCTTAAATTAGCATACTATATCATATTGTATAGTATTTATCTTGAATTAACTTATATGTTTTTATCCCTTGAATAATTATGTAATTATAACAAAACATCACATTAATAAATGGGTAATAATGGATGTATTAATTATCCCCATAACTTATCCAGCTCACATGGTTTCTCTGACCCTATCCAGTAAACTGAATCCTTGATATATCGAATCCCAGCCACCAGCGCCTAAGTTTGTTATATCTGTTGTTTTCATTTGCTAATTAATCATAATTTGCACAAGTGAAAACAACAGTATTAAAAAATACAAATATATTTAAAATTATAATCTGAACATATTTACTTAGAAGGCTAAATCAGAATTTTATAATAGATATTAAGCACATAAAAGTAGAAAGTGCATAAGAATAAATATGTATTTTATAGAAAAATAGAAATAATAGAAATAATAAATCAAAATAGAAATAATAAATCAAAAGTAAATAATAATTAATAACAGATTAAAATCAAGAATTAAAAATAATTTCAAATAATACTATTACTTATATTTGTATTTATATTAATATAAAATATAAAACAAAAAATTCTTTTGCTTTTTATAATAATTAAATTTAAAAAAACCAATTTTTTTACTTATGACGAACCCATGTCAGCCCGTGACATTTGATTGGACTATGTCTGTATACTCACTCGCTATGTATTTTCTCCAAGCGTCTCTGATTTTTGCACAATCTTCTCCAGTTTTTTCCGCTGATAATGATCTTGAAATCTATACTTACCAGCATGAGTTCTGCACGCGCCAAATATAGATGACGTTAATTTACCACACTCTTTACATGGTACACGGGTGGGAGAATTCCAGTGAACTCTACATCCCTCTGGTCGATAGCAACCCTCATTACAAACCTTACCAGTTCGGAGGATATAAGGGCAACGATAAAATCCCATATCTATGTGAATTTCTTTAATAATGTATATATTATATGTCTAACACTAATTACCTAAAATAATTAATTTTCATTTTGAACTTTTCTCTAACCTGTAATATATCATTCGAGAAACATGGATACCCAAAGTATAACAACAGAATTTATCCCCCCCCACTGAATTCATTCCACCTTCCGAATTTATCCCCCCATCTTCCGAATTCGAGCCAGAAATAGAACCAGAAGAAAATAACGGGGGCTTCTACCACCGGGGCCCCAAAGCCGAGAGTGTAGCTGAATATTTATATAAAATACGTGATGATAGTGTACGACCAAGAGAATTCCTAGGTACAGATTCTGAGGATGGAATAGAAACTATATTCAGAGACCGTCAAGGTCATTCACTACACGAATATATAGAAGGCGATGACCCACTTCGTCCCTTTATCAATTTCGATTTATCTCAAGAAAAACTAAATAGTATTGACCCAAAACTTACGCGTAAAGAAGCTTATTATGCTTTAATCGGAGCTTTCAGAGAGGTATGTATTGAGATTTACCCAGATTGGGATATTAAAACCTTAACTGTCGCCAATAGTAGTGACCAGAAAAAAATGTCATACCATATATCAACATTTGGTTTACGACTCGAAAATATCACCAAGGTTGCATCATTCATTGAACTCGTTCGTAAGAAACTTCCAGTAAAACTACAAGAAGATAAGAATATAGTTGATAATATTGCAAACAGCAGTAGTTTTTCTTTACGTATGCTTGGAACTCCAAAAATTATTAAAGATACTGATAACCATGTTCGTCCAAAGATAGCTGTTACGCCTAAAGATGGCACGATTTTTGACTTTATGCTCCGCCCACCTAATGATGAGGCACCAGTTATAGATAGTCCCATCTTATTTGTTCCAGAATCAGACAACCAGAATTTGTAATACAGGCATTGAGACTACTGAAGCCGAACTTGAATTGGTAAAAGAGTTATTAGAAAATGCCAATATCCGAGGGTATGAAATATCAATTCCAGGAGATCGCTTTCCTGATACTTTCCCTCTCAAACGTATAACCCCATCACAATGTCCATTATGTAAACGAGAAGATGAAGATCATAAAGATCATATACACCATAGTGAAAATGCTTATGTTATCCGAAATAAAAAGTCATAGTTTTTACTGCCATCGAGCAAATCAAAATAAAAAGGAACTGGGAGGAAGAAAACCTTCATTAAAGCTTGTTATTGATGAGAGCCTTGGAACGAGAGAAAAATCTTCCAGCTCCAATAAAGTTGGATCGATCCAGAATTTCCAATCCGAATGATCATTTTGTATGGGGCGACTTACTAGATATGTGTACTCCAGATAAAAGATATTCTCGTGATGAAGTTTATGGAGCGATTCAGGCAACGGTCGCATGTATTCAAAAAACTTCGAAAACATGGCTACTCAAAATGGAAGATTCGGATGGTGGTCTCTGCTTTGATATGGCGTCTGAACTAAAGCTTTCTAAATATGAGATTAATATAACCGAATATGGAGGGGAATCGATTGAATTAAAATCAATGATAAATCAAGCAGTTATTAAAGGTTTAATTCGCTATCGTGATGTTAATTTTCTTCCATATTCCTTTAATATAACTCAACCAAATACGAAAGTCTTTAATCTTTTCATGGGTTTTTTGGCTAAACCAGTGAGAGAAACTAATAAAGAGATTATGGAACCTATTCTTTGGCATGTAAGGAACGTAATCTGTAATGAAGATCAGAAACTTAATGAATACATTTGGAACTGGTGGGCATATTTAGTGCAATATCCAGAAAAGAAACCTCGGACAATTCTGGTATTAAAATCAATCCTTCAACAATGTGGAAAAAATATTATAACTGATTTTATTGGTGATAAAGTCCTAGGGGAGCATCTTCATTTCGCGACATCTAATTTAGAGCAAATTCTTGGACGGTTTAATAGTTCTATTCAAGCTAGAAAGCTTATTGTTATGAATGAGACCGGAATGGCTAGTGGAGAATGGCATAGGTTTAAATGGCCTCTCAAATCTCTCATAACAGAAAAAAAGGTGGCTATAGAACGTAAAGGCCTTGAAACTATGCGAATAAATGACTATGCTGGGTATATGGTCACAAGTAATCAAGTCGCACCACTCAAAATAGACATAGGAGATAGTCGCATAGTTTGTTTTGATGTTTCTACACGATGTAGGGGTAATACTCCATATTTTGACGGGCTGGGAGAAATTCTTAATCATCCCGATGCACCAGGAGTAGTCATGGCATATCTTCTTAACCGTGATCTGTCAAAGTGGAGTCCACAGAATATTCCTACCACTAAAATGAAAACAGATAGAATGATGAAACAACTTTCCAACCCTATTCGCTTTATAATACAGCATATTAGATCATGGTCCGAAGACCGAATCGACAAACCGATCAGTGGAAATCTATATCAAGATTATCTTACTTGGTGTGAAAAAGATGGGGAGGATCGAATCTGTAACAATAAATTTGGAGGTTTTCTTCCACCGATAGGTATCGAGAAAAAGCAAGTACGGATTAATGGGAAAAGGGAACGGATATATATCCTCGACCGATCCAAAATCGTGGCCAAGCTACGTGAATCGCTAGGTAATATCGAGGAATTTTCTGACGTACCTCAAACCAATATACCTATTGATTCCTCCGCAGATATTCCTGTATTCAATGTCCCAGAAATTGTTACACCCAGCCAGAAAAAATAGAATCTATTCCATTACCTACAGATCGCATCGAAAAAGGTAAGAAAACATCCACCCCACCCATCACTAATATGACCCAGGATCTCTTTGACTCAATAATAGAACAACCAGAATATTCAGTTGCTTCGTCATCCGGGTCTATCAATATATCTCTGCCTCCCGAGATCGAACACGTAGAATCTGTGGACGATAAAGTTGAACCATCTCCTGAGCCAGACTTATCTATAAATGATGAATCAAAGACCAGTAGCGAAGAAACTCCCACCCAGATATCATACCCACCTGGCTATTTAACCCGAGAGCAACGAGAGGTACGTTTTCGTGAAAAAGCCATCAAACTTGGAGAGGATCCTGATAAATTCGTTACCATTACTGAAAAAGATAAGCTCGATTCCATAGCATTCCGTGATAGAATGCAGACTGATGCGAGAATGTGTGGTTTTGCAAAGGAGGCCGAAGAAGACCCCAGTGAATATATGGATATGACGGTACGTGAAAGATTGATAGGGGAAGAAATAATCCGCCGTTCTCTCGAGGAAGATGGAATCACTTCATCATGGCTCGATACCGATGAGGACTGGAAAAAAACGGTGAGCATACTACAGGAGAATGGTATGCTATGGTAAGATATCTATCTGTATATACTAAGGAGTGAATAAAGTGAGTTTTGTAGGTAGGAGTTTTTGATCTCTCTACGAATAAGCAGTATAAAAATCCAAATAAAAAATATTATGAAACCTCCCGCCTTCTCGTGATTTTATCACTCGAAGCCAGAAGAACTGATAACATATATACTGTACTATCACTCTGCCCTTTCACCGACAATGAGAGAAACGAATTGGCGGGTATATATACTGGTTTTTGTGACGCTAGAAATTACCTATATATTTGAATGTGGAGGTAACGAATGATCATTTTTGTGTCTAATTCTATACTCATACGAATAAAATCTTCCAGCGTGGTTTGCACAATATCCAGTATATGATGAGGTAGGTTTTTCACATATTTTACATAACTCTTTCGAAGCTCTTTTTACCTGTAACCGCCAATGTAAACCACAACCAGATAGCCGAGTGCAGATTTTTTCACATAATGTACCATCCCTCTTAACATGTTGACAAGTAATACGTTCCATTCAGAATATTTTAGGATATAATATATATAAACCCTTTCACTTTTAATATCAATTATTGCTAAATAAAAAATCAATTTAAAGTTTCGGCAGGACTTTTTATAAACCTAGAATAGATTTACCCTTCTGAAATACATATACCACATACTCCAATGGAAACACCCCAGAAAGTAGTCAACTTATTAACCAAGAGAGAGATTGATCGCAACGGACCAACATTCCGCAGACTAATGCGCAATGGCTTCAGGTACGTAAAAGATTTAGCCGAATTTCTACAATTACCTGATAAAATAGATTATTATTATATAGAGCAGATGGACTTTTTATGTGCTCTGTCCATCCAACTATGATACCACCGATTGATATAATGGAAAATAGACCCGATATTTACAAGAAATGGTCCATAAGTATAGAAACATACCGGAATCTATTTCAGGCATTGTAAAAAAAATATAATAATAATAAATCGATTAATATAACCTGGGATCCCACCCCCAAAGTTATAAAAATTTTTCGTTTATCCCATTCACTCTAATTTCACCCTCTTCATCACTAGACGATTCAGAGTTGGACCCAGACTCAGATGAGGACTCAGATGCGGTATCGTTAAAAATTAGTTTTTTTCTAGCATTGCATTTTCTTTTAATCTCAGATGGTGTACGATTTCTTCGAGAAATATCTGGGTTTGCTATCGAGTTTATAATATCCTGCTGAATCTCGGGTTTCACTATTTTCAGTAATCGGTGAAGAGAGATCCAGATTTTTTTACCCGGTCACTATATTTTATTCCAAGTTTATTGACTAAGCTTTTTCTAATGATGTTTTCTGCTGACGATGTATCAATTAATGCCTTAACCAAGTAAGGCTCATGACCCTCTTCATGGATTTTACATTTTACATATGCCATCTTGTAATATAATTTATATTATGCACTATATATATTTAGCCAAAAAAATAACTAATATTCGGGTAATTAATTTAGGCGCACTTTTAAATCCGTATTAATAAATAATTTAACATTTACAATGACCGAAGCTGATAGAACCGTATCCCATATTACTAAACAGGTCCACCAAAATATATTAAAAGGAGAATGAAGGGTGCTGTAGGTGTTGTGGAAAGCCTTGAATTATCTTTTCGATTTAAGGGTAGGGATAAATTAGTATCTGGTAGTGATAAAGTTTTAAACGATTTTGTAGTATGCAAAGAACCTAAAGCTGATCTTGTATTAGGAATGCCATGGTTGTGGTTGCGTGAAACAAAAATCGATCCTCATGGTGAAAGAATTTCAATCTATGGTGGAGTTATACCATTTTGCAAGAATCCGGAGTCAATTTATATTTCATCCGATGAGACGGAGAGTGATACATCTAATTTTCACAAGTCTCCTCATTCCAACTCGCGCCAAAAGAACAAGTGTAAGAAAGGTAAAGTATCACTTCGTGAGTCTATATCCGACCTATCTGCAAAAGATATTGAAAATGCGATTAAATCAGTAATAGATCCTAAGAATCAGATTTATGATCCCCTATCTTCTGATAGCGATTCAACACCTAGTTTGGGAATAAAAGTTAAACGTGTGCATAAGAAACGTCCCATTCTAAAGCGTAAAGTAAAAGGTAAAGTCAATTATCGAGGTTTCTATTAATGCCTTGTGCTTGCTCCGCTAATGCATAAATCACATTATAACGGGTCAATGTTATGTAAGTCAAATCCGCGAATCAGAGATCCAATCACATCACGGGTGGGATCAACATAGAAGTTAGTGGAACACGCGATAATCGTTATTTTTTTTTTCGTTTAGGCTGGAAAATACCTCTAGCATTACACATGCTTTTACGATAAGGGTGAGCGAAAACGAACCTCGAAAAGGTAATAAGGGCAGTACCGTTATCAGAAATTATGAGTCATAGGTTCGAGATCTTCGCAATTCCAGATCGTCGTTGCGATTAACCAACTTCGTCTTACAGGAGGGATTTCACTCATATGTATGACCTATTGCTCCGCATATTCACACATCTTGGCATATGACAACACTTTCTATGGAGGCTGAATCGTAATAAGTTTAATAACAGTCAATTTTGTCATTATTAGATTTGGAGATTCGCTCGATAAAGTTTGGATCATTTTAATAATTTGGGGTCGAGTAGAGCATATAAATAATCAGGCTTTGTGAAGACTTTGTTTCTCACCTTCCCACGAATTTTAAAAGATATATGTTGTTTATAGCAAAGAAAATACCTAGCAAAGTGACATTATACTTACTATAAATCTTTTTATTTCATTGGTAAATTTGATAGATATCAGATTAGCAACAGATGCAAATTTGACTTTAAAATTCTTTGCCTATTAGTTTTTCAAAACATATATTTATTTAACAAAAAAAGATTTTTTTTGTCAAATCTTGGCACAATATGTACCTCTTGTTCTATAGATTTTATTAGAATTATATTATACTTTTTGGTATAGTATAGATGAGGGCAATCATACTTTTCTGACTCATTTGACACAATATCATATCAATAAATCATAGCAAGATTATATAGGTTCTTTGCTAATTCTTGAAAAAATCATAAAAAGAGCAATACCTTTTGAAAGGAAATATGAAAGTTAATTTATTTAAAATTGCTAAATTTGAAATTATATTTTACTATTCTTCAAGTTGTATTTATCTTTCTGTACCAAGCACCTTTATCTGATCTATAATGACTTTGGTCTTTAGCTGAAGTTACTATAACATTACTGAACTACTCTTTATCATGAAAATTTCCAGATATTCTCAGAATTTTGCCACTTTCCAAATGAATTACATCATAAATTTTTATACAAAAGTCTTCACTTTTAGACTCTTGTGATAATATATCAAGAAATATGTCTAATATAGTAATTATATATAATAATTCTTCAATAAAGTTTGGATATGATGGACTCTCCAAATTCTTCAATGAAATCACTTTTACTTCAATAGCATCCAAAGATAATTCTCATAATACCTTGTCAAATCCTATAGTTTTACAATAAACTATCTTACTCATCATTAGAGCCAATTTTTTGCACTTCACCTATAAGTATAGTTTAGAATTTATAACAAATTAATCACAATTAATATACTTGACTTATTGCATTTACTATCTACTACATGATATTTTTTCTATTCAATGACCAGTATGAATTTTTCACATATGACTTGTAAAGTATTTTGTATATTTTTGTTGAGAGACCATTCAAGATACCATATTTACAAATTGTTAGAATCATGTGGTAATGCTAACTATGCAATTTAGAAAAACTACATTCTATAGTAAATAGTGATGAGAAGATTCTCTTAAATTCAGTTGACCAGTTAGCAATAAGAACCTGTATCCATTTTCAAAGTTTATTATTAATTCTTCAAAGTTTAATTGATTTTACTTTATTTTATCTCAAATTCTTTTAAATCATTTTTAGTAAATGACTCTCATCTACTCATCATATACATCCTACTGAACTTTACATAAAGCATGTAGAGTTCATTGCAGGTTATATTATTCTATGTATCAAAGATATTGTCTAACATGAAAAGAGTAATTTTTATGATATATCGATAGTCTGTAACTGTCATCACTTTTATTTGACCTAATTTATCAAACAGCTTCAACCCAAAAAAGCAAGAAATTTGATAAAGGCAGCTATCAAAGTTGTTTAGTAATTCTGTTTCTCCAACTTCCTTTAAAATATCTTGAGTGAAGTTCAATTGATATTTGAAGAGATCAAGATCAATATAATGCATATAATTAGATATGTAAGCTTCATAAATATTTAAGTTTCTATAATAATTTAACAATTTTAATTTAATTATAACTCAAAATTAATCGCAGAAGGATTAGCATTCAAATACTCATGAGAACTTTCAGAATACATTTTTAACATTGTGTATGAAAAAATCCTTGCCCTGATCTTCATTTATAATCTGTCGCATATTTTCTGATATTCTAAAATTCATATCCTCTGATACAAGATTCATATTATTGAGATTATCTCACAGAACCATGCAGATATGACATAGTATTTTATACCTTACTGATTTATATGTTGCAGTCACATTGTTAGCTTCAAGCATGTCTGCGAGAAAGACTAAAATATATGTTGCAAAAATTACTGGTCACTCCTATACTCCAAAATACAATTTATTGGATTTTTCCACTAGAGAACCAAGTATAATTTTAAAGTACTTGTAATATACTTCATGTTGCAAGTTTCAAAAATCTTCAGTAGTTTTTATTATTGAGTCTTGGACTTTGAGTAAAAAATTCAAAAGAACTTTAACTTCTGATTTATTTTGAAGCCAATTTGGAAAGTTGTCAAGTGTTAAAAATACAGAATATCCTGATGTCTTGCCAAGACCATTAAAAATAGTGGTATTTAAATATAGAATAATTAATAATAGACAGTGTAATAGAGAAAGTATCTTTTTAGTCTCATATTATTAATCACATTCATACTATTCTCCGAATACCCTTATTTTAACTTCACTTTCCTGATAATTACTTAATATTTATTGATTTATTAATTTTGTTAATGATATTACAGTAATTAAAAACTTATCATCTTCTCCTTTTTTAGAATGCCCTATTGATTAAAATTGTCTGTTATTCCTGGTTATTATAGAAGTATTTGAATGGCTTGAAAAATTGGATAGTAATAGAGAGTAAAAGTAATATTAGAGAAAGTTTCGACAATCTTTTCTTTGAAGTCAATCAAAGGTAATTTTATTTGGTTAAGATAATCTTTTCCACTTTTTGTGGATTTGGATAATGATAATTCCTCCAGATTATCATATTTATTAAAGAATTTAATTATTTTATCCCTAATCTTGTTCAAAATATTATTCTCTATTACCAATTTCATAAAGTCACAGTAAATATTATTGGATCATTGCACTAAGCATTCCAGTTCAATTTTTTCTTTGATAGTCTCCAAAGTATTATCCAAAGTTGTATCTTAAAGATCTTTAGAATCAAAGCTAGTATCTGTATCTACTAGCAGTGATTCTTCAGAACTTTTTTCTGAAATCTTTTCAGCAACTTCTACAGGTAATATCATTTTTTCAGCAACTTACACAGGTAATATTATTTCTTTTTCAATATTTAGAGGTAATATCTTTATTTCATTATGTTCTACTAATATTATTAGAAGAGATAACCTTGTAATCAGCATATTCCACAAATTTGCATCATGTTCTGGTCTTTGTATTGGCTGAGATGATTGTGGTCTTTGCAAGGTATGACCTATTGGTCAAGAAACAGTTCTTCTTCCATGATATACTGCATTGACATGCTGTGTCAATCCACTGGAAGTTGTAAAATATCATTTACAAATTTGACAATGATATTTAGCTATTGAATAATAGATTTTTATCAGAAGTTAAGTAAATTTATATATTAATTGAAG